TGAAATATCTTTTGAAGATGACATTTCAGTTGGTTGAGGAAGTTCAATAAACTGTTTCTTAGCAGGTCGTTGCTGTTGGTCGTTGTTAGGAGAAGAAGAGCAAGTCTTGTTAGACTTGTTGTTGTTGTTGTTGTTTTCATTTTTTTCCCAGTCATATTGAAATTGGGGATCAGCGGAAAGAGTTTTTCCAAATTCCCAAATATTATTTTTTTTTTTTTTTTTTTTTTTTTTTTTTTATTTTAACGTGCGGTAGCTTTACACAACCTTTATTAAAAGTAAAGTAAAAAATTACAAATTACAAATGAGAGAATACAAAAATTTCTATCTAGTAAAGACTAAATCAAAACCAACCTTGCACCGTTCTAGACTAACCTACTCTAAACTAATTTAAAATAGGTTCAACCATCCAGTATGGGGGCCTGGTTACTACTGTTCCAAAAACTTTGACCAATGCGATCCAAAAAGAAATGATTATGAAAAAAGGGAGGGATAATAAAGGTGTGAGGGAGGGAGTCAGGAAAGCCAGTTGATATAATATTTTCTTTTCGATCCTTGAGGGACAAGTTGTGATCATCTTCAAATTTTTTTAGGGTGGTACATCGTTCGAGCCAGAGAGCTTTGATTTTTTCGTGTGTGAAGTGGTATGTTGAGGAGAGTAGACCACAGACAAATTCCCAAATATTATATTATAAAAGATCTTATAAACAATTTTGTTATATTTAATTTTACATTAACTATATTATACATACTTAAGTAAAATATCGAAAATATATTGGACTGGAAAATGCATTTAAAGTACAGTATATTGACAGAAATTTATTTTTCCCGGCAGTTTCCCCCCCTTTCGACACAAATTAACAAAGGGGAAGATCAATAAATTCACGTGATTTTTTGTTTAAATAATGCTGTTTTAAACTTGGATCTTGACGCGTCTTAGAGATTAAGTGTAATTACTTTTTCGATGTCACACCCATACCGAAATCCTGTTCCAGATGCTAATGACCTTTCGCTGGGTCGAAAATCCATGTCTGGAATAGCTTCAGTCTTAGCAGGTTCCGAAAATCTAACAACAGGAATCCAAGATGTTCAATATTTGGCTCAAATTGATATACCTGACATCGAGGTATTATTATTATTATTATTGTCCTTTTTGAGAAGCATTGAAAGCTTATATATCCTTTTACAACTTAGAATGTACGTCCTTTACTTGACCATAGTGGGTTGTCAAGATATGAAGCTAATAAGGCTCTCGTGGAAGAATTAGGTGAATCTTTTGTGAGAATGATAAATAATGAGACTTGGAGTGTTGAAAAGTATGTAAAATAAAAGGTTTTGATTATTAATCCAAAAATGAAAGTTATTTACCTTTAAACTGTTTACAATTTAGATTTAATGATTTTATCAATGCTGCTTCACAGTTTATGTTTATGAAGGAAATGCGAAAGGCTGTATTAGCTGCTTGTGTTAAATATCATGACCGGATATCTTCTGATATGTATGATTGGTTAGTGAACGACCCGAATATTGTAGATGTAAGGCAATTATTTATCTCTTAGATGTTGTTCAAATCTGCTTTTGACATAATTTATTTATTTTTACATTGTCAAAGTAATAGGAGGCACCAATAAGTATTAAAAGAGAATTATTTGCTCGGGATAGATCATTATTCCGACTTTATGTGACCCCACTTTTCGAAGAATATTTGAAAGATCAAAGCTTGTATTTTCTCAGCAGAGAAATGAGAGGAACTAACATAAACGATGTTTTAGACTTTAGGTTTGTTGTATAATAGAATTATAACTCCAGTTTTTATTATATTATCTAATTGTTAAATTTATTTAATGTTTAGAATGAATAATAAAGGGCTTCAGGACATTATAAATATGATTGGTGAAAACAACATATTGTTTGATGAAATGCAAAGTCTCATCAGAATTTGGTTTGTTGAAAATGGATGGTCTAGAATTTGTTCATTTCGTTTCGATTTTTTCATGGGAATGCAAAAGGCGGACCGTATTCAAGTAGATATATTATTTTTAATTACCATCTAAATTGAATCAATATTCTGATTTGAATGATACTGATTTCCTTATCTATAAAAATAGATGTGTAAACGTGATCATTCGTTTAATTTTATTTGGTACGTAAATGCTGGAATAAGAAAAGGATTTGATTCAAACCGTATTAATGAATTGATAAACATGTACAACAAAGCTAAAAAATCAGCATCCCCCGACATCATGTAAGTTATATTTTTTTTTAAAAGTTAACTTTATTAAAATTCTCAAATTATACTACTAAATTTATCAATTTCATCAGCGAACTTGCGATGGTTTTTCAAGATCCTCTTGTCGTAAGCGTTTTTTCTGCTCGAATAGTAGATATTTTACGAAAATATGTTGATAAATCATTAGAAAGGCTACCATTGCGACTCGTCAATAGTAACATGCTGATGATCATGGTGGTTAATTTTTCCATTATTTTTAATCAATTTGGGAATGCGTTTCTTTTCATAAACCTTTTTTTTTTTATTTTTAATTTTTTTAAAAAAAATAACATTAGAAAGAAAAAGAAATGTCATCAACCCTTAAATGGTGTACTTCAATGTTACATTTCGGTTCTAATGCATTTCGAATGATAATTAGTAAAAATTACAATTTGCCAGATCTCGACGAAAAAGAATTTTATGAAGGCTTTTATAAGCACATATTATACATGATGGTTGATGATAGACAAAGGGAAGCAAAAGAAAGTAGTAAAGCCCGTAAAGAGAAGACCACGCAAGATGTACTTGATATGCAAGAAATACCACCCACACCTTCTTGGATTTCATTTGGCGAAACGGAAACTCAATTATTGAAGAAAAGTGATCCCGCTAGAAAGGTATTTATATAAAGAAAGAAATAGAGAGATATATATCAATATTTTTATGTGTCTATCTTTTTTAACATTTTGTTAAATTAATCATATATAGATCTTTTGTCAGTATATCGTGGAGAGAACTGATAAAGGTGATCCAGTTGCTGTGCATCGATGTTTACCATTTATATATGCATCATTGCCACGCAATGAAAATGAATTTATGCATTTAGAAATGTACGAATCTTTGTATCAATCAATCATAACTATAATTATCAAATCGCATCGAGTTCGTGTACTTTGTTCTGAAAGATGGAGATCTGTTATAACTGACTTAATCAACATTACACCTTGGAGATTAAGTATTCAAGAATTGGTTGTAAAATTATTTATAGAATTTTATAGCGATGAAGTTGCCAACAAATTGACGACTTTAGGCTGTGTAGAACGAATGAAATTGGTGAGAGAATGGGCTGAAAGAATGTGTATCACGGGAGTGAATATGAAAGTAAATAGTTTAATTTATTTATTTCGCATTTATAAACTTTTGCATAAAATTCCAATTTAAAAATAACTAAATTTATTTTACCCCAGACCGGTGACGTTAAAGCACTTAGACATAAGTATTTGCTTATGATTTTTAGGTCTACACAGGTTGTAAGTGGAATCTATTCTATTAGACCCGAGGTTTGTCCGGTTTTGTGGGAAATCGCTTTTCAAGGAAATAAGGATGTTAATTTGAATGCAAAAGACGCAAGAGCGTTGTTAGAAATGTATTTATAAATATCTTAATTAGACAAGTTCACTTATACAGAAAAATTTACAATACATGCAACAAATGATATACATCAATAATCAAATACTTTGTATCTTTAATAGAAATGAATAATAAGTGTTGATCTTATAATTTTTAAGTTGTGCAAATTTTAATTAATTTATTAAATTAAGATCCGAGATGTACGAAGATTTACGTTTTCAATATCATAATGAAAACGCGTACAGGAAATCTTTCAAATGACAATGCCGATCACGAAATCCATGCCTTTTAGTTTTGATCGATCCTACCCATGAACGTACTTTAAATTAGTATCAACTCCGAATAACCAATTACTAATACCAATTTTATCAATACTCACTCTATAATTTTTGCTTCCTCCGAACCTTTTTCTTCTCTTTCCTTTGTTTGAGGTGATGGATCAGGTTCCGGGGGAGGAATGTAATCATAATTCCATCCACTTAACGAAGGAGTCTCTGTAGGGATTTTCAATTGACCCGGAAACAACATAGTCTTATTACCAAGTTGGGCTGAATCAAATAAAGATTTACTTATTTGTTCAAGCTGTATATTTGCTTCATTTAACATATTATATTTTGCTGACATTTCTTCACTTTTCGCTTCACGTTGATTACGTAAATATAATTTCCAAGCTCTTTCAATAGTTTCATGTCTTTCAAGATCTTCTTCTGTGAATTGTGGTAATTCTGGTTTAGGAGTTTCAAAGAGGATACGCTTAATTACTTCGTAACGTGTATCAGTAATGTTATAATTTGTTGCTCCAGGCGTTCCTGGCGGCGGTCCTCCTGTTCTTTTGTTTGCAGCTGCGCGAGATAAAAGTCTTCGTGCTGTTGAAATTGATAAGGATGAACGAGGAAAGTATGTAAAAGTCATAGCAGAAAATTCATTTATAAGATTATATATACAGTATATATATAGTGCTTAGTAGGTTAGATTTATAAACGAAAATAAGTTAAAGATGATCAAAAATTTTTTAATCATGTTGATATTCAATAATCAAAAATCGTGCCGAAATTGTATTTAAAATATTTGAATTATTTGAGTTGTAATTGGTTTATATAAATATATAAATATAAATATAAATATATATATATGGAAAATTAACGAAACTACATTGTTAAAACCGAAAAGGATTTTTAACTTTCAGAGATTTATTTTGGAACCTTTGTTACCAAAATATCAATAATGAACTTTTATTTAATATAATGTTTGATTTGATGCAAAAGAGAAAGAGAGAGAAAGTAAAACAACAAATCCGGATCCATTTTGAATACATTACACGTGATTTATAAAAGCTTAATAGATCTGCCAATAAAAACGGATCGCAAAGTTTGAACAGTCAATAATGGCTCAAGCGCTTTTGCTCTTATGTTGTTATCTAATTCGGGACGATTTCGGCCCAATTATTGAGGTATTTTAAATTTTACTTTGAAAAACCTTAAAGATATGCTTATTATGATATTATTATCTAACACTGTATTATAGGAAGTAGCCAAGGTATTATTACAAAAAGGTCGACTTCCATTAGTATCCATATCTAAATTTTCAAAACAAAATTTATCCAAAACTCGCGAATGTCTCTTCGTACTAATTCAACACAATCTGGTATATTGGGCTGAAACTAGAGAAGGATCACGTAATTCGATTCATTATTCTATTGAACAAAGTGAGATTTTAGCGAGACTTAATTTCGGAATTTATGTAAAATATGCGAATGAATGGGCTAGGCATAGGGTTTGAATTGATACTATTGATTTTTTATATATACAAGTATATATATATAACATTTCATATAAATTACTTTATTAGGGGGCTGATGAAATAACTCATTATATGCTGTTAACTGGTAAAGGAACGTTCACAGGATTTATCGAAGATCGAAACATATCAAAGAGAACAAATAGTAAGTAAATTAAGAGATTTTTTTATTTTATAAGTATTATCTAAGCCAACACACTTCCTTTATAGAATTCAAAGAGTTGAAAGAGACGTTTAATAAAATGGTTGAAAAACGTTATCTTACACCAGTAAAAATAACAGATTCAAAGTCTGCTCAGGATAAAGCATCAGAGGCTGAACAACGCGAATTAGCAAAAGTCACTAACTTTATTCCTACAAAAAAACAAATGGCTGAAGTGAAAGCTAAACTCGCGGCTGTAGCCGATGATGACAACGTTTCGACAGGATCGGTGAGGCCTATAAAAATTTTTTTTTTTTATTTATCGATATTTAAACTTTTTATTATTATTAGAAACGTAAAATTAATTTCGAAAATGTTGAAAATATTGAAAGACCAGCTAAGGTTTGAATATAATTAATTTAACATGTTTTTGAATTACATTTAATGAAACGTTTTTAATTACCCTTGGATTTGCAGCAACAAAAAGGAGAAGATTCAGTTGATGTAAGTTTGTAGATCATTTTATAGAAACTTTTTTTTTTTTTTTCTTTGGCTAAAAAAGTTTTACCATTAGGAAAATCAATATTTTCGCGTGAACTATGAAAAATTTAATGCTAAATCGAGAAATAGGGTAGGAACAATCTATCTAATTTATTAATTTTTTATTATTTACTAGTTTTTTTAAACAATGTTAATTCTCTATTTTATGATTGTAGCAAATTGTTGAGTTTGTAAAAACTCGTATTAATCAATCAGCAAGTATTATAACAAAAGTTATCCTTGACATCGCAGACGATGAGAAACCAAGCGATATCGAATCACGTAAGAAAACGAGTTATTGATAATGATAATGCTTCAAATATCGTCATTAATTAAATATAACTGGTTACAGGCGCAATATCAGCACAAAGAATTATTAGGAGTGTCCCAGTCGAAAAGACTGATTTATTTAATCAGCAGATGCAAAGTGCGAGAAGAGGAGTAACTCGTGAAATTTTAATCAAACAATATTTAGATTATCTTATGGAAAATGATGATGCAAATATCTTACGAAAGAAAGATGAAAATACGGGTGGAATGTATACCTTTCGATATCATGAAGTTTGTGAATCATTGAAAAAAGAAATTTTTGAGGATGTTATTATGGAAAAATATGGGTTTAAGGGATTGAGAATTGTTAGAATATTAAGTGAAAAGGGCAAATTAGATGAAAAGGCGGTTAGTTAATTAGCTTGTCAATTTGAATGAAGTTTTTACAAACAACAAAAATAATAATTCGTTTATTCATTTTTCTTTAAAGATTATTAATTTAGCTTTAATGAATCCTTTGGAAGTTCGCCAAAAGTTGACAGAACTAATGATGGGAGGCTTTTTACAAATACAAGTAATTTATAAAGTTTCTTCACAAGAAACATCATAATTTTTAAGATTTAATAACCTTCAATTACTTTCCTTTCCCTCCAGGAAGTTCCAAGATCAGCAGATCGAGCACCCTCAAGAACATTTTATCTATGGGATGTAGATTATAAAAGGTGCTATGATGCATTATTGAATTATTATTATCGTACACTGGCTAATATACACCAAGTGAGATTTGATTATGAATCAGGTTCATCAAGGCTCTTAGAAAAGAAGGAAAAAGAGGACGCATTAAGACAATTAAATAGGAGTTCCAATATTCAATTGTTGAATGAAATCGAAAGGAAGAAATTACAGGAATTGGAACAAATATTAACTCAACTGGATACTGTACAACTGAGAATTATACAAAATGTTATGTTGTTTAGAAAATATAAATGAATTAGTACAAGTATTACAGTGGAAAGGAAAAACCTAATCGTAATGACGTTTTTACTTATTGCATATAAATAAGTAAAACTTGTAGGTTTTTTTTAGAAAATTCATTTACCTTTTTTCCTTAAGTATTCATGAAAGGCATGAAAAATTTATAATTATTCAAAAAAAAGAAAAATTTAATATTTAATATTTTTCTAATTTAATATGTAAGATATAATAAATGATTAAAAAGTATAATCAATTTTATTTATATAAGATATTGTGAACGGGTAAATGTGACGCAGCTTATGTGGCGCAGAAGATCGACTAATTTGACATAAGTGATATATATGATATGTCAGACATATGTGGCATAACTGACATATTAGACATGGTTGACATATTAGATATAGTTGATATATTAGACATAGTTGATATAGTAGACATGTTAGTTATATCTCTCTATGTAATTTATTTTATATAAATAGATAGCTTTTTAGTTCATGTAGTTTTAGTAGTCTAGAGGCAATTTGCCTACCGCGTTACATTTTTGTTTCAGTAATTCGTTTTTTTCTTTTCTTATTCTATTTCCTTATTTCCTTTTATTTCTTTTCTTTTACTTTTATTATTTTACTCGTGAATAAACACATTATTTTACAATTATAAATCATTGGCAATCTGTTGAAATACTGCTCGTCGTAATAGTACAAACACTTTTGCTCAATTAAAAAGAATAAACTGCTCGAACACCCCGTCTAACAGTCGTAGTTCGTAAGAATTACACGTTAACAATATAATAAATGATTAAAAAGTATAATCAATTTATTTATGTAGTATTATTATATAAATTATCTATAATTTTTTAATTGGTTAAAAAAAATATTTTAATAAATTTTCTTTTATTATAATACGGATTAAATTGTTCATTAGTATACTTGTAGGTTAGACTAATAAATAGTACTATTTTACCTGATATATAAAGATTTAAAAATTTTTTTTGAAAAGATTCAGTTTGTTTATCATCTATTGATGTAAAATAAATGATCTTAATAATCTGAGATAAATCTAATAATATTAATAAAAATAACATTTTAATTATAATCAAAATTTAATAAAAAAATTTTTTTTTAAATTTATAATTAAAATTAAGATTTATTACATTTTAATCTAAAAAATATTAAGAAGAAAAGAATGTTAGTAAATATTTTCAAAGAAATCTGCTTAATCTAAAAAGAAGAATTCAACTTATCAGTTAGTTTTCAAAGTTCAAAAAAAATCGATTTTAAAAAAGTAAAGAATGTTAATAAATTTAAAAAATTTTTTTTTATTTAAATAATTATTATTTTAAGAATTTATTACCAAAATTTTAATTATAATATAAAACTTTAAAAAAAATTTAAATATTGATAAATTAAATACAATAAATTTTATTAAGAATAAAATATCTGAAAAAATAATATTTATTATTAAAATATTAATTAGCCAAAACTTTTCTTTTAATATTATTTTATTATAATATAACATAATATTTAAAAATAATAATCTTTTAAAGATAATATATAAATTTTTATTATTATTAATAAATTTTTAATATAAAATATTTTAATTATAATATTATATTATTTATTAATAATACTAATAAAACTTTTGATTAATTAAAATTAATTTGAATATAAAAATTAATAAAATTATTTATTTATAATTATAATATAATATTTTTATAAAAAAAAATACATATATTTAAATTTTCTTTTTTAGTATTTTTTTTTATAAACTTAAAAAATACTTATTAAAATAAGCAAATTTTTATTTGATAAATTTATTATTAATATTTTCATATATTCTTAATTATAATTAAATATAATAATATATTAAAACTATATTTTTATTTTTATTAATATATTTAACTAATAATTATATGTAATTATTTTTTTTATTAATTTATTAATTTTATTTAATTTATTAATAATATTTAATTTATTAATTATATTTTTAAAATTATTAATGTAATTATAATCTTTAATAATTTTTAATAATTTGTTATTATTACAAGCTTTATTTTAAATAAATAAAATTATTAATATATAGATAAGATAAATAAATAATTATATAATTTAAACAAATTTTAAGAATATCATTTAAATTTAATAAAAGAATTTTATCAATTTGATTTATATTAATATTAATTAATAGTTCATAATTTTACTTTTTATATATTTAATAATATTATAGAATATATTATAATATTAAATTAATTTTAAAAATTCACATTTTAATTTCTATATTTCTTTATTTTTATAGTAATAAGTATTAATTATCTACTTATTCTTCTTATATATTTTTATATTTATCAAAAAATATTGATTAACTATTAATTTATTTATATAATTTACTTTTTTATTTTTAGTAATTTTTTAATATATTATATTTTTTTTTCAATTTTTTTAATTAATTCTATATTTCTATCTTTTAAATATTTTTATATATTATAGTGTTTGTTTTATTTGATTATAATACTTGATTTTATTTTTTATTTTTATTAAAAAATTTTAATAATATATTATTATTCATTAAGTTAATTTCTTATTATTTTATTTTATTTATTTAAACATTCATTTTCTAATTAATTTATATTTTTTGAAACTTTTTATTATAAAACTAATGTTAATTATTCTATTTAATAAATTTTTAAATTGTATTAAAAAACTAAATATTTTAGTACTAGAAAATAAAATAAATTGTTTTATTATTAATTCTATATTCAGAATTATCAAACTAATAACTTGATAATAGAAAATAATATATAAAATCAAACTAGTTACTTACTATAAGACAAATTTTATCATAATCAACTTTTAAGTTTATAATGATTCAAATGAGATTAACAATTTAAACAGATGTAAATAATATAAACAATAATAACATATAGAAAAAAATAATAAATGTAGTTTAAAAAGAGATTTCTTTATTATAAATAAATATATTTTATTAAATATAATTTATAATTTAATTATTATAAAATATAATAAAAAATAAATAAAATATATGATAAATATAAAATATAAAGTTAATTTTTGTAAATTTAAAATACTATAAAATTAATAAAATTAGATATTACTGTAATTTTAAAATTATATAATTCTATATCATATTATTATATAAATTAATTATTATTAATTATTAGATATAAAATAGAATAAAAAAATGCATTTTTTGATTATTATAATAATTAATATAAAATTTATATATTTTTAATATATTAAAAGGCAATAATTAAGTTTGAAAATTTGGATAAAAATATCTTATAATTTTCAAAGTTTTACAATATCTTCTATTTTAATAATATTATAGATTTTTATATAATAATATGAAAATTTTTTGATATTAAATTTATTAAATTATTACATACTTTTTGTATTTATTTATAAATTTTTAGTAGATTATCATTTTAGTTTAAATTAAAATCTTATATATAACAAATTAGATAAAACTTTTTTATTATTATTTGTTAATATATTTAACACATAAAAAGATTAAGATTCTAATATTGAATATTCTAATATTCTAAATATATAAAAAATAAATTTTTTTTTTTACTATCTATACTATTAAATTAATATATTTATAATTAATTTTTTTAATTAAAATATAATAAGTCATTATAAAATAATATTGAACTCTTATATTATATATACCTCTCTCTCTCTCTCTCTCTCTATACAAACTAATTTCTATAAAACTGAAAAATTCTATTTATTATTAATAATTTAATAATATAATAATAAATCATAATAATTTACATTATTTGTTTCTTTTTTAATATATGAATAAAATCAAATCATTAATATTAAAGTCTGTGATATCAACAGTAAATTTAACTTTACATCAATTTTTTGGCTATTACCATATAGCATTTATATGAGAGATTTTACTAACAAATTGTTTGATTAGAAAAAATTTGTAATATTGCCAAAAAGTTTTACTATATGATAAATGAAATAATTTATATGACATCAATTATTCTTACATTATCAGTAAGCAGAGAAAATTTTCCACTTTTGGATTTATTCATAGCAAAATACGAAATCGATTACGTAATGATCGCGTTAAAAAGTCCGAATGTATGATGAATTCAAAAATCATAGATTTGTCTAATAATATCATACATCATCCATAATAATATGTACAGTATATCAATGCTTATAAAATTTTTTTGTTTATTAAAAGTTTTGGTATAAATTGTAAGTTTTTCTTTCCCTTGTAATCGAATTCCAATAACTTTATTTGCCCCTCATGATGATTTCTATGAAGTTTACTAATAATGTTTGTAAATATAATAATTATGACAAGTTGAAAATATATAAAACAAAATCAAAAATCAAAAAATAAATCAAAAATTAAAAAAATCAAAAAAAAAAAAAATTCAAATTTCTACCACGAAATAAGAAAAGAAACGAAAAAAAAATCCCTGAATTTTTTTTTTAAATAAATAAATAAAGGATAATAAAGATAAAAAAAATTATTTAATTGAATTCATTTTCCTTGAGGTGAACCTTAATTTATCAGAAGTTCTCTCGAGATCTCCATCCAACTCAGTTAACAATTGATTTTGATAATCTAATTCTTGACCTATAGCTAAACCAATATGTTTATGTCTACTTAATATAGCGCTGAACTGTTCAACATGATGGTCTTGATCTTCCATAGTTTGTTTTTGTAAATTAACTAATCCATCATTATCCAATCCACGAGTTTGTTCTGTTTCTGTTGGCATGGTAGATCGATTATTACCAAAAACCCTTCTTGACGGTGTTACTGGTGCTACTTTAGAAGAAATTCCATCATTATTATTTTTACCAACCATTCCTTTATTGATTGGGGTTTGTTTAAAAGGTTGTCGGAATAAAGCTGATCGATCCACCGAACTTGCTGGTGTGGTCGCTTTACTAATATCAGTTCTCGACGTCAATACAAGTTTTGTCAAAGTATCTTTTTCTTCTTTAGTTTCTGTCAACATATCTTGTCGTCTTCTCAATTCTCCTTCTGACATTACTTTCCCATCTTTCCCATTTCCTTCCGCGAGCCCTCTAAGACCCGCATCAAGTTGTGACACCCGCATTCCAAGTAACGTCAAATTTTTCTTTGCCTGCAAATTAAAGTTATGTGACAATTGTACTTCATTACGTGCAATGTGAGTTTCACGTTTATTTAAAAGTGACCTAATCTCTTTAGCTTTGGCTTGCACATCATTATACTCGTCAAGCCAACTTTCTGAAGTATACAATGATGCAGAATCAAGTGATCGACCTGTTGGTATAGCCAAGAATTCTCTCCATTCATCGGTCTCTCTCCAACGATCATCTTTATGAAAAAGTATTCCCCTTAAATAATCTTCCAAACCTCTACGCCTTTCCTCTACCAACACCGGGTTTCCAAGGGTAGACTGAAAATAATGTTTGACGGGTATTTCAAATGGTGGTGGATTACTCGGGAAAAGTCTTATAAGTTTGTCATTTAATTCATCAAATTCACTATACCGCTTCCAAACTGACCAAGTTCTAACTGCAGCATTCACCTCTACCCTATAAACTGTATGTGGTTTTGGTGTGTCTCTTGTTTCAATATTTCGAATGTAAATATTTTGAATACTTTCAATCATTTTTATTATTATTCGAAAGAAAGTGGGTAGGTTTTTTTTTTTTTTTTTTTTGTTTGAATTCAATGGGCTTTTTTATATGTGAAATTACGTAACCGTCGCCTGAACATCATGTGCCTTTCCAATTTGCAACATTATGTGCGACAAGTCTCCTGTAGATCTTTTGGGATGATCTAATTTCGATCTGATTTTAATCAATCTATTTAAATACAATAAAATTTTTAACCTTACTAAAAATGTCAAAAAATCATTTATGAAAATAAATTTAAGCAAAGCTTGTTTTTTTTTTTTTTTAAAAAAAAAAAAAAAATAAAATTCAAGAAAGGTTACAATTTGAATTGAATAGCAAAAAAAAAAAAATAAAATAAATAAATATATATATATATATAAAATCGAGAATTTACAAATAAATATTTAATTCAAAATAAATAAAGTAAATAAAAACGTAATAAAATATAATAAAATAAAATATCCAAATTATTCTACAATCCAAAATCTTCATTCGAATCATTTGAAGTTTAAGTTTTTTTGCGTTTTAAATCCATGGAGGTGAAGAACTCATAACACCTGCTTCTATTAACAAAAAAGAAATAAGTTACACCAATAAACATATCAATATAAAAATAATTATATACTTAGTAACTCAAGCCCTAGCAACAATTGTAGCTTCTTTTAAACTTCTTCTTTTTTCGTCTTCCTTAACGAAGACCTCTGCAACCTCCGCTAATTCTTTATCTTGATTCACCTCTTCAATGGCAGCATCAATTGCCTGTTTAGTTTTTGCATGTTCTGCTGCATCAGCTTCTTGTCGGGTCGGAGGCAATCGTTCATTTTCAATATCTGACCGGCGTGCTTCTTCAAATGAAGTGATTGCTATTTTATTGGGGGGGGGGGGAGAAAAAGAAAATAAATAATTATTAATTAAATAGTATTTATTGTTATACAAGTACATATGATTTTCATAATTTGTTGATAAATACCTTTCTTGATACCTTCAGCTCCTAAAGCTAAAGTACCGTACGGTAATCTACCAGTACCCGTTACATTCTTTAGCTCCATAACGCGTTCTGATTCTTCTCTGTTTATTATTATTATTATTATTATTATTTATAAAAAAAGGGTTTAACATTAAAATTCATAATTTTATGCAATTAATAAATATTAGATAAAGTACCTAAGAACGGAAAATACTCTGGCCATTTTACCAACCGCCAAAATCTTATTTTTGATTACTTGACGCCTTTCTGAACTTTCTGTCGATGCTGTTGGCGTTTCTGAATTAACAAATGTAAAAACAAGTTATATAAATAATTTATTTTATAACATATAACGCGATATAGCTATTAATTACAATAATTCAGTTAATCTCTCTAAATATTTTATGTATTTTACATTCATTAAGGAACCGTTGCACATATATTGTTCGACAATACCATTGTAGGATAACTACCTGGTGATTTAGGCTCCGATATAAGTTCTTCATCCGCTAATTCTTCTTTACTACAAATATTTAAGATTACAAGTAGCATATCTGTAACTAAATGAGGCGAGAGAGGAAAATATGAGTAAAATTTTCTTCTCCATATATGTTATATAGGAATATATTAATAATTTATACATACTCTTTTCACCGACGAAAGGAAGGGACCAAGTAAACACATCCATAAAATTGGGTAGCCAGTAAGGATGAGGAGTACAATTGAATTGACGAATGTTCATTACATTGTTTTCATACTTCAAAACGGCCGCTAAAAAAAATTATATATATATATATATATAAAATTAAATACCAATATCAAACCTATAAAGAAATATCTATTATTTATACCAACCTTTGTTATTATATACATCCAAATAATTAGGAGCAGAAAAGATAGTCATTACTGAAGGGAAGCCTGTTGTCTTTGTCTTTCGATACATTCGATACCTATTTATACAATGATATAAAAAATTGAGTTACACAGTTTTCGTGTTTAAATGATATAGCATCAATTTTAAAAATGCTTGCCCAGCATCCTGAGCTTCATGTGCACGAATAATAGACAATAATCCATTTTTTTCTAAAAAGTTACAGGCCGCGTGATAACTATTAAAAATAAAATTCAAGAAATTTAATAAAGATATAAATTCAAATCACCAACGTATAAGAAAGTAACTTCAAATTACCTGAAAAAATACGAGCATCCTCGAACATGATTATGTATAAAGCATTCATTTGTCTTTTCTTGTCCAAATTCTTCTAAAGGATCGGCCCATAATAAATCACACATTAACCCATGCGTTGGGGGCTCTCTGAATCGATTAATCTATTAAAATAAAAAGGTTAGAAGATTACAAGCTTCAAAAATACACACATTACGTACATTACGCAGATCATCCAATGTATTCAATTCAGGTGACAAACCACCATGAATGCATAGAAATTGTTTATTCATTATGGCAGCAAGTGGAAGTGCACAGAAGGATTCCATGCAAGCGTCATAAACATTTTCAGAATACTTATGTTTACCTATTGAGAAGAAATAATATTAACGCATTCATTGATATTCATAAATAACATAAACATTATTTATATAAGAGAAGTAAACTTACATTCCAGCTTAAATGTGAAATAGTCTGTAAGGTGACGACATTCGTGATTACCGCGTAATAAAAATAATGTGTTTGGGTACCATATTTTTAAAGCCCACAAATAAAGCACACACTACATGAAAGGAAAATTAAAAGTAATTAATTAATAATTCATAATGAAAAAAAATGTATAGTAAATGAATAACGAGAGGGACATGCCTCAATGGAAAAATAACCTCTATCCACATAATCACCAAGAAAGAGGTACCGAGTTTCGGCAGGATTACCACCCACTTCGAACAATTTCATCAAATCATAAAATTGACCATGAATATCACCACATACTTGAATGATATGGAGATAAAATCAAAATTTGTTTCGGATTAAGTAGCGAGGACATTGCAAGAAAATAAAGAAAATAATAATACCTGTTATGGGAGCATCCACTTCTAATAGATTCGATTCTTCCTTTAATATTTCAGTACCCTTATTAATAATGTATAAAGCGTGTTCATCTGAAATTCTTCCCTCACGATAAAAATGGTCCTTTAAAAACACGATATCGGGCTTTTCTGAATCTTCCTTTGAGAAGAAAAGCTCGGATGTAGGTATCTGGACAGCGGGTGCTTGGACGTCTGCAAGGATATAATATAAATACGTTTAATGAGAATGAGAAAACAATGAGATTGTTCCAAAGCTTGTGTTGTTGAAGATTATTATTAAATAGGTGTGCAATACCAAACGTGAGTACAGCCCACCTTAACTGCTATAATGCAAGGAAAGGTGTCCCGACTCTCGCGTGTTAAGCCTTTCAAATGAACGTTCTGACGAGTTTCTTGTTGTTTATTGAACTCTTTTAACCTCATAGCAGTTCAATAAATGAATTAAGAAAACCATACACGAACCTTTACAAAATCGATCCAGAGTTGATACCTTGCTACCATCATCCATTTCATGAACTGTAAAATCTATGTCGGGGACAGGCACTTTAGTCTCTGCTAACTTCCTAAGATAAGTATCAACATCCTTAGGAAGGGAAGTTTCATTGTCTGCGTCCGACATGCTTTTTTTCTTCTTTATACTTTATTTTTTTTTTTTTAAAAAAAAAAAAAAAGAACTAAAGTATCAGAGATAAAAAAAAATTCAAAGGGTATCCGAGGACGTTATGTAATACGAATTGATTTAATCTTAATACCAGTTATACAGTAAGAGTTACATCTCACAAAAAAATCCTTAATAGGTAAATTAGGGTAGAACATTATTAACATATTTAGGTTTATCAAAAATTAACATAGTATAAAAACTATAAAAACTATATGTTATTCTCGAAGTTTTCCAAGTATATATGGAGTCTTCGAGTGACGCCGTAGAAGCGGCCATCGCGCGAGTAGCAGAAATTTTGAGATCTCCGGACGATTTAGTAAAAACTAGCCTTTTACGTAAAAGATTGGCGATTGAAAAAGCAAACAACGATGCTCAACTTAAAAATGGAGTAAAAGCACAGTTAGATACTACGCAAGAAGGAATTGATATGCTGACTTCTTCCAAAGAAAAAATGAATACGATTAAGGATAACATGCAAACTATAGATCGCTTATGTTCTGAAGCACAAAATATGATCCAGCACTTCCCAAGGATCAATAAGGTGAAAAGATAAAAATAAACTCGGTATTTTTCTTTTTAAACCAAAATTATTTAAAACGTGATTTTTTCATAACAATTAGCTTTATGATATTTGATTCAGATTTCCCAAATTCACCGTAATTTTATCGCGACTCAAGATACCGTTCAACGATTGCAAGAAATGCATTTGACAATTGATCAAATGCAAAATATGCTAGAGATCGAAAAGTTAAACATTCTTGGCCCGGCAAAAAATTTATTATTTATTCATTATCAACTTTTTCGTTTACAAGAATTCAGAGATATTACAATGTACCAAGCAAATACCTCGTCACAAGATGATGACTTTCTTACACTGAAACAATATTTTAAAAGGTTGGATGTTGTATCAGAAGATTTTTTAGATTATCTTTGGACCTTGTCAAAGAATATTATGAATTTAGCTAGGAATGAGCAAGGGTCCGTAATTGTTCGAATCGTTAAGGTGATCGAAGCAGAAGAACGAGCTGATGAAAAGGCTAAGACAGCAGAGCATGCTAGACATAGTCATCAGGATCTTGCAACAAAATTCAAGTCTGTTCAAACAAGTCCTCGTGTAATTAGATCATTTCGTAGTCGATTTCAGGATAAACTTCATGATTCCATTTCAGAATTATTTGAAGAATTTTATGATAAATACAAGGATACACCAACAGAATTGTTGGATCAATTAGATTTCATATTTGATGATTTGGCGTTGGTATTTCAAGAGATTGTTCCACGTTTTCCCAAAAAGTATAATATCTTTTCGGTATATGTGTTAGCATATC